TCTCCAATCAATCAGGGAATCAATCCTTACCTATTTATTTCTATTTTATGTTATCATTTTAAATACATACACACACACACACACACACAAACACACACACACACATATATTCACTAAATAAGGAGCGCTCTATAGATTTCTGTAGATTTCTGCTATAGATTTCTAGTAGAAATACTGTAAGCTAGAAAGAGTGCCACCACAGTAGCCCCTGCAGATAGGAAGATACATGAAAATCTGCAAGCAGATAATAGATCACTTATATAACATGGTAACTTTCACCAGGTCCAGAAACAAAAAATTAAAAGGAGATTCAATTGAAAACTTGAAGAATGTCCTTTTATCTCAAAGGAAGCAGAAAAAGTGGCTAAGATAGGACACTAAGTAGAGGGAAAAGACATTGCGTTCAAACCTGAAGTCAAAGCACAGCTCTGTTCAAATGTTATGCTTGGCTTCTGCAAGTCTACAGTTCTAGGTGAGCTACGTCCGAGAAGTCGACGATATTCTTCCAGAAATATTCTGCCAAAATGTAGGCTCTGAAGAAAGCCCCAGGATTTTCCCAACTGCAAAGGCTACTTGACGATAGCAGTGAGCCTGAGGGCTGGAATATGGCCCTGCCTAGTTTCCCAAAGCCTCTGTTCTGGCTGGAGAATTAAATGACAAGAATTAACTAAACCTAATTCCAATCCAGGTACATGTCTGGGGAATAAGGGTAGAGTTCCTAGTGGAAATATCTGCATAGAGTGGTCTCATTCCAGCCCAAATCCCAGGATTTTGCAGTTTGCAAAAATGCGTAGTTTGCGTGTCTGTTTCTTTTAGAAATACCTGGTATGAAATCATCTATTCTGTGTTCCTTTTGCCTTCCCAGATACTCCTGCTTAAGCTCTTTTGTACCTCCCTCCTTCATCCAGTTTGGCTCTAGGCCTTTTTCTTTCAACACTGTTAACTCTCTCTAGGAAATCTCATCCACTCCACAGCTTCAGTTTGCTGAAAACATACAAATTTATAGAATATATTATGTTCTCCAGAGAAACAGAAGCAATAAGATAGAGGCAAAATCTCTTCTAATCACCCTATGTAGCCATTTCTTAGGCCTGAGGAAACAAACTGAGACAAAATAAATGCCTTAAAATAACAGAAATGCATTCATTCATAGTTTCTCATAGTCTCTCATATATTGTTACTTATTATAAAGTACTGGCTGCTATGATTATGGAGGCTGAGAAATCCCACTATCTGCTGTCCATAAACTGGATGCCCGGGAAAGCTGGTGGTGCAGTTTGAAGGCCTGCCAACTGGAGAGCCAGTGATGTAGATTCAGACTGGGTCTGAAGACTTAAGAACCATCAGTGCTAACAGTGGAAGATCAATGTCTCTGCTCCAACAGTCTGGACAAGTAAATTTGTCCTTCCTCTGCCTTTTTGTTCTACTGAAGCCCTCAATGGATTAAATGGTGCCCATCCATATAGGGGAAGGCCATCTGCTTTACTCAACCCACCGATTCAAATGGTAATCTTCTCCAGAAACACCCTCACAGACACACCCAGAAACGTTTATCCAGCTATCTATGTGGGTATCCCATTACCAAGCCAAGTTGACACATAAAATTAACTTTCACATATAATATCTCCAATCTAGACTTCCTTTTAAGCTCGAGACCCTCGTATTTAACTGTCTACTTGAACTCTCCTTGAATACCTTTAAAACTCTTCCATTTCTACATATCCCAAACTGATTTCCCTGCAAGCCTTTCACATTCCCCACCCTTGTAAACAACACCAGCCTCCATCCAGTTTCACAGCCAGGAACTCAGGGCCCATCTTCACACCTTTGTTTCCCTCATCTCCTATACTTAACCTGTTACCAAGTCCTTTATAACTTTTGAATCTGTCTTGTTCCCTCCACCATCACTACAAGAGTTCCAATCAAGAGACTTAGATTAGTGAAAAAATAATAAAAATGAATAATTATCAAAGGTTTATTATAAATCAGGCAAACATTCTTTTAAAGCTTTACATAAATTATCTCTTATAATCACCCTATGTATTATTTCTCTAGGGCTGACATAAAAATTACTATAAGCGAAATGACTTAAAATAGTAGAAATGTGTTTTCTCCTAACTTTGAAGGCTAGAAGTCTGAAATCAGGGTGTCAGCAGGGCTGTGATCTTGAAGGCTCTAGGAGAGGAACCTTCCTTGCCTCTTCTATCTCCTCGTGGTCCCAGGAATTCCTTGACTTGTGACTGTATCACTGCACTCTCTGCCCTTGTCTTAATCCGGTCTTTTCCTCTGCATGTGTGGCTTCCTGCCTTCTGTTTCAAATCTTCCGCCTTTTTCTTATAAGGATGTTTGTCTGCATATTTAGAGTCCACCCGGATAATCCAGGATGATCACTTCATCTCAGGGTCTTTAACTTAGTTACATCTGCATTCACAGCTTCCGGGGATTAGGAAGTAGATTTTTTTTTAGGGGGGGCAACATTTAACCCATTACCCTTTATGAAGTAAGAATAGTGATTAGTCCCACTGGATAGATGGGGCAACTGAGACTTAAAGAGTGTAAGGGACTTGCCCAATATCACATAGTTAATAGGTTGTAGGGACTTGAGATTCACATACACTTTCAGAGGAACAATTTCAATATTCTGAAAGGAGTAACAGTTTCAAGTTAAGTAATTCATCCCTTGGATGTCAATTATTCCTTCCTCAATCTATTCATTACTCTATTATTCTATACCATTAGGTATAGGATACACCAGCATTTCCACCTATAGGAATCTACTCTATGGATAAATTTGTCACATCTGATGAAACTGTTCACTGCCATATCCTTTACAATAAAAGTTATTAGAAACATTCTTAATGCCCAGCGGTAGAAGATGGTTGAATTCATTATGGCACAGCCACACAATGGGATATCATGTAGCCCTGTTAAGATAAAGCTTGTCAAAATTAACACAGAAACAGAGAATCAAATACTTCATGTTTTCACTTATAAGTGGGAGCTAAGCCCTGGGTACTCATGGACATAAAGATGGGAACAAGAGACGACCAGAGGGAGGAGGGCAATGGTACTGTGCTCACTACCTGGGTGACCGGATCAATCACACCCAAAACCTCAGCATCACAAAATATACTCAGATAATAAGCCTGCACATGTACCCCTGAATCTAAAAGTTTAAATTATAAGTAAATAAATAATAAATAAAATGAAACTTGTTTATAGTTAATAATGGTGTATTATATACTTGAAATTTACTGAGGCTAGATCTTACGTGTCCTCACACACATACAAAAGAGGTTAATATGGGAGGTGATGGACAAGACAATTAGTTTGAGTGGGGAAATAATTTCCCAACATACACATATATCAGAACATCAATTCTTACATCTTAAATATATGCAATGTTTATCTGCCAATCATACCTCAATAAGGCTAGAAAAATTAAAAAATACAATTAGGCATGCTTATATGCACTAGTATGGAAGAAATTAACTCAAGGTGCAGAACAGTGCATATAAAATGCGACGTTTTTAAATAACACAAAGGAAACATATATATGCACTTTATATATATTTGAATATATAGAATATTCTTGGAAAGATAAGGCAGAAATGTGTAACTGTCTTTGAGGAAAGAATTGTGAGACTGAGTACAGGGAAGGAAAGAAGATTTAGTTTTCACTGTGAATTTTATTGTATTGTTTGAATTTATTTTGTGCTTGCATTACTTGAGAGAGAAAGAATATCCATGTGCTAGTTTTCACTGAATTTTCCAACTTGACCTCCAGCTGAATTTCATCTTTCACCTAAGTCCTTGCTTCCCAACTCACTGAGTATGTCCATGTTGAGTGTGTATACATATGTGCACGCGCATGTATCTTAGTGTTCCATCATTCTGGATTCTCATGTTTTCTACATGTGTAAATCCTGCCTCTCAAAAACTTTTTTGGTGCAGCCTCCCTGGTTTTCAGTGTTGGAACCAACCACTCTTCCTCCACACTTAAAAAGCCCCTGTTCAACCTACTTTGAATTATGGTTGGTTATGCTTGCAAGTTGGTTACCCTCATTAAATTGACTCCTAAAGGGAAGTGTGCTTCTGGTTGGTCCCTATGCTCCCCAAGGTATCAGAAACAAAGCACTGCTGAATTCTCATCATTAACTAAAAAATATTAAGCATAAGAATCATCTAGGAAAACTGAAGTTTTCTATGATGCCTAATTATAAGAGGGCTAAAGGAAAATAGCCCAAATATAGGAATTCTTAGCAAAAAATATCTAAAGGAACAAAGAAGATCCCCAAAGCTACAAATTAATCCACTACTGTGTATGAAATTGGATTATTACAAGAGATGTAGGTGAAATACTTTAAATCCATAGTATAGGTAAGAGAAGAAGAAAAAATCACTTTAGTTATAATTCAGGAAAAATATTTCTTGACATTTTTATTTGTTTGCTTGTTTTTAGCCAAACAAAACCAAGTTGCAAAATAGACAGTGATTTGATCATAAAGCAGGCTACTTTTCAGACTGGGACTAACACCCACCTCCACCTCTGTTGCCTCCCCCTACAAACACTAAACATTATCAATGCAGCCCTCTCTGTTGCTCAATAACCACATTTTTGTGTGTGCAAAATTTCCCAAATCATATTATAAAATGACTGCAATTTATTTTTTGTTATTTACTTTTTACCATCATTTAAACCTATTTCCTCTTGTCCTCGTTGTTAAGGAGTTTATAAAGGGCCATATTACTCCATTTATTTAACTTTCACACATCCCAAAGCAATTCATAGTAATTGATTATATACCACTGAACCTTCTATAAACAGTAAAACCAATTTTTAAAATGCTTCTAGCATATTGCTATTCTGCTCTAATCTCAGGAAATAGGCACACCTATGTCAGGCCTAACTCATTTCTATTGGCCTTGTAATAACATATGGGAAAATAAATATACTAAAATAAAAATTAAAAGTGGCAACAATCCAAAGTTTAACTTACTGTTAATGCTAAGTCATATTCTTCAGCAGCTAAATGTGCTAAGCCCAAGTAGTAACAGGCTTCCCCTTCCATCTTTTTGTCACCTCCTGAAGTGAAAATGTAAAAAAAATTACCAGGTATTAAAGAAATTAACTCATTACAATAAATAGAATGCTTGCTTTTCAAGACAGTAGAAAATTATTTTTTAAAGTATGCAGTTTTATTAATAATCTCCAAAACCTATCTGTATACTAAAAAAAAAAAGGCTGATGTAGACACAATTTACCTGGATCAGAGATATTAGAGTAAGATGCATTAGCAGTATAATTATAAGAGGTTTCCCTTTATGAACACAGCCCAATATTATCATTTTGACATTCATGTATAATTTTATGCCAGTCCATCGTGTAAAGGCCTACAGTCATCTGGCATAGCTGCTACTACATGCATAAAACAACCAATATGGGTAACAACCTTAAATGGTGCACAAACATTAATATTCAGTCACATGGACTGACATTCAGCTAAGTTTCTAACTGCAGATAATTCACAAATTAATGAATTTTTATTTTGATTATGTTCTGTTTAAGAGCTATGGATTAAACTGTAGGTAAGAGTAACTGACAGAGCTTAGTTTCCTGGTACAAAATTCCATGTGTATTTTGAAATCCAAACACTTTACTAATCACTGGTAATACTTTTCATTTTTTTTTTTGCAAGAAAGTTAGTCTAATTCCTGTGATATCTTACTAATTTTAGTTCAGGAATTAACCACTTTTTTCCAAAAGAAAAATGTGTAAAGTTATAATGTGGTTCCACATGATATACCTCATACCATTGGGAAAATATATAACTTGTTTATATTTAGTATATTAAATGTAACATTGGCTTCTAATATGACTAACTCCTGGCTAATGCAAACGCTGAGTGATCTAACCTTTGTTTTTGGTCTTTGGAAAGTAAGTGATATGATTTTGATGTTTGTCCTCTCCAAATCTCATGTAGAAATGTGATCCCCAATGTTGGACATGGCACCTGTGGAAGGTATCTGTCATGGGGGCAGATCCTGCATGAATGTCTTGGCGTCATTCAAATAGGAACCAGTGAGCTCTTGCCCTATTAGTTCATATGAGAGCTGATTGCTTTAAAGAGCCTGGCATCTCTCTTGCTCCTTCTCTCGCCATATAACATGCCTGTTCTCCTTTGCCTCCTGCCATGATTGGAAGCTTCCTGAAACCTTTACCAGGAAGAGATGCTGGCACCATGCTTCTTGTACAGTCTGTGGAGCTTTAAGTAAAAATGAACCCCTTTTCTTCATAAAGTACCCACCCTCAGATATTCCTTGGTAGCAATGCAAAATAGACTAATACAGTAAGTATCCTTAGATTTCTGAGCTCCACATTCCAACCATGAAGGATGTTAGCAGGAACAATATTTCATGCTGCATTCACTCTCACCACTCACCAAATAACCGCTGCTGACTTCGAGGCAATCGGATGGCAAATGCCAGTAACAGTACTTTTTTCTTCTCTAGCTAGTTTGCTGATTGCAGAGAATTATACCTTCAAGATCTCACTTTACCTGAGTTGATGATGCCAGTGATCCAGTAGGGGGAATTTTAACTCTTCTTATTCAGCTGGGCCCTAACTTTTTCTCTGCTATAGGTTTATGGGTTCTGGGGGAAAAGGTGAGACTAGTGAAGAAAAAGACAAAATAGAAGAAAGAAGCTATGACAGGAAGCTACTTATTAGAGAGTTGAAAGCTGGCTGTATGTGGTATATATTTTCTGTGTCAAGTGGTAGAACTGTGTTAAAGCACTAGCAACTGGCTGGGCTGATATAGCACCGTCATCTGAATCTCATTTTATGTGAGTGGAAGCTCAACAGAGGAGAAAAGAAAGAAAACAATTAAAGATGTGCATAGAGGGAGGGACATTTATAGCTATAAATGTCTATATTTAAAAATAAGAAAGGTCTTTCCCCCTTATAAAAGTACTGATTGCTACTGATAGATTTTGAGGCAGCTAATTGAAACAGTTTGGAAACAACAAATATTAGTTTTTAAATAGTATTCAAACATGAGAACTTTTCTTGTTCACTAATACAGACAAAGTTAAGATAAAGTGAAAGCAATAACATAACAGAAAAAAAATGTCAGTAAGAATAGGATTAACAACAGCCAGAAAGAAAAGGTTAGATGTAAAATCTTGGCACTACTAAAATCGAATGACACGTTAAAACTTATATTTTAAAGAATAGAGACATAAAGAGAGAGAAAATAAATAATAAAGAATAACCATCTGGTAAGGTGTATGCTGACAAGTGTTCTGGGGGAAATAGAGCAGGTAAGCAGAATCTAGAGTGCCAAGTAGGGGTTCAGAGGACAAAGCAGGTTTCAGTATTCACTATGGTTGTCAGAGTAGACACCATCGGAAGGGTGGTATTCACAATAATGTGAAATCTAAAATACATAACAGAAATAAATTTGGGAAACTTATGTCCATGTGGAAATTAAAAACACTCCTAAATAAACAATAGGTCAAAGAAGAACACAAGGTAAGCCAGAAAATACTCTGAGATGGATGAAAATGAAAACACAACAGGCCAAAATTTATGGGACACAACTAAAGATGTGCATAGAGGGAGGGACATTTATAGCTATAAATGTCTATATTTAAAAATAAGAAAGGTCTTTCCCCCTTATAAAAGTAGAAAAAGAGAATATGACTACCCTCAAATCAAACAGAGGGAAGGAAATAGGAAAGACTAGAGTGGAAATGAATAAAATAGAAAATAGAAAAACCATAGTGAAAATCAACAAAACAAAAAATGATAATTCGAAAAAGTCAACAAAATTAACATATGTTTAGTTTGACCAAAGAAGAAAAAGAAGAATTCCTTAAATTATTAAAATCAAGAATGAAAAAAGGGAAATAACTACAGACCTTACAGAAACAAAAAGGATTATAAGAGATTTTTGTGGGCAATTATATACTAGTGAGTTAGATAAACTAAATGAAACAGACAAATTCATAGAAAGACACAAACTACTGAAATTGACTGAAGAAGAAATCAAAACTCTGAACAAATTTGTAACAACTAAAGTAACTGAATTATTAATTTCAAAAATTCCCATGAAGAAAAGGCTAGCCAGGCTTAGATGACCACACTGGTGAATTTTTAAAAAATATTTTAAGAATTAACACCAATCTTTTACAAATATTTTAAAAAATTAAAAGAAAACACCTCCCAAATTGTTCTATAAGGCCAGTATTATTTTGACATCAAACTAGATAAAGACATTACAAGAAAAGAAAAGTATAAACTAATGTCTCCTATGAACATAGACAGAAAAATCCTTAACAAAATTACTCACAAAGAAAAATCAATAGCATATAAGAAGAATTATACACCACGATCAAGTGGAATTTAGCCCAGTGATGCAAGTTTGGTTCTACATATGCTAACCAATCCATATAGCATACCAGATTCATATGATAAAAGACAAAACACATGACCATCTCAATAGATGTATGAAAAAAGCATTTGGCAACATCCAACCCCTTCCATGTTAAAAACCCTCAACAAACTTGGAATAGAAGGGAACTTTCTCAACATAGTAAAGGGCATCTACATAAAATCCTCAGTATATATCATACTTCTGTTTAAAACTGTTGTGCTAGAGGTTCTAGTCACATAAATTAGGCAAGAGAAAGATAGAGCACACAGATAGAAAGGAAGCAGCAAAACTATATTTGCAGATAACATAATCTTGTGTATCCAGAATCCTAAAGAATCCATAAAAAACTATCAAAGCTAATAAATAAATTTAACAAGGCTGCAAACTATAAGATCATATAGAAGTCAGTTTTATTTTTACTTGTAGGTAATGAACAATTTGACAATGAAATTAAGAAACAACTCCATTTACAATAGCATCAAAAGAATAAAATATTAAAAATAAATTTAACAAAAGATGGCAGGACATGTACACTGACAACTATAAAATGTCACTGAAAGAAATTAAAGAATATTTAAATAAATGGACAGATATCCCATTGAATATGGATTGAAAAACATAGCGTTAAGATGGCAATATTCCCCAAATTGATTGACAGATTCAGTGCAATTCCTACCAAAATTCCAACTCCTCTTTTTGTAGAAATTGACACGCAGATCCTAAAATGCATGTGGAAATGCAAGTGATGGGAACAGCCAAAGCAAACTTGAAAATAACAACATTACAAGACATATTTCCCCATTTCAAAACTTACTACAAAACTAGAGTAATAAAATCTATGTATTACTGTAATTGTAGGTTAGACAAGAAAGATCAAGACAATAGCATTGAGAATCCAGAAAACAACTTTCACATATATGATCAAATGATTTTATATAGGGTGTCATGACAATTTATTTAGAAAAAAGAATAATGTTTTCAATAAGTAGTACTAGTACAAGTGGATATCCACTTTCAAAATATGAAGTTGTATCCTCCTCACACCACATATGCATGCAGGTGAGTGCACACACACACACTTCAAAATAGATCATGAGCTTAAATATAGTTAAAACTGTAAAACTCTTAAAGCACAGAAGTAAATCACTGTGACCTTGGATTGGTAAAGCCTTCTTAGTTATAATATCAAAAGCAAGAATAGCAAAAGAAAAACTAGACAAATTGAACTTTAACAAAATTAAAATCTTGTGCTTCAATGAATACCATCAGGAAGGGAAAATAAAACCCACAGGAGAAAATATTTTCAAATCATACGTCTGATGAAAGACTTGTATATAAACTATACACAGAATTTTAAAAACTCAATAATAAAAGAAACAAAACTGGGCAAAGAATCTGAATAAAAATTTCTGCAGAGAATATATACAAATGGCCAAGAAGCACATGAAAAAATAAATGCTCAATGTTACTGACCAACAGGAAAATGCAAATCAAATCCACAGTGAGATACCACATTACACCAACTAGGATGAGTGTAATGAAGAAGATGAGAGTAACAGGTGCTGGTGAGCAGGTGGCCCAACTGAAACCCTCACATACTACTAGTGGAAATGCCAAATGGTGAAGTCACTTTGGAAAACTGACAGATCCTCAATAAATTGAACACAGTTACCATATAACCCAGCAATGCCACTCCTAAGCATATAATTAAGACGTTTGAAAAGTTGTATACAAATGTTCATTCTAGCATTATTCATAATGGGCAAAAGGGGGACACAATTCATGTGTCCATCAGCTGATGAATGAATAAAGAAAATGTGGTACAACCATGCAATGGAATGGGATTTGGCCCTATGTGGTAGATGAACCTTGAAAACCTATTAAGTAAAAGATGTTGGCTGATGTTGTACTTGTGCCTTACACCAATGTACCCTAGCAAAAGAGTCGGTCAACAGTGGGTGTCGTACCCCTTAAATACTATGTAAACCAACTTTTTGGTAAGTGAGAGATGCTTTTTGAAAGAAGACCACTTGACAGGCTCTGGCCGTTGGAAGAGACCCAGGAATTTTCTTTCTTTGTGAACTACCTTAAAACTTAGCAAATGTGAATCTAAAATAAAATATCTCTTCCTAATCAATGCATTCCTTTTCACTGAAATTCCATGTAACTTTCCATGTGACTAAAATTTGCTGCTGAAATTGTTCTAAGAGGTAACTATGTGTTTACCCCTTTGGGGGGAGATACTAGACAACCATTTATTCAAAAGCAGTTCATTTAATGAGATACATCTTTCAGGGGGTGATTTTCTGTGAGTAGGTTGACTAATAGTATTAAAAGAAGTTAGAGAGAGGCTAAGATGTTTATTTTTACTCTTTAGTAAATTAAAATCACACCCAGAAAATCAGTCCAGCTCACTCTTAATAAGCCATCTATTATTTAATAAACCAATCAATTAAATATATCCATGAGCTAATAAACTTTAGTTCAGGGGCATAACTTCTGCCTTTTTCCTCCTTCATGAAAAGGCTACTCTATTAATACATTACTATAGTGTAACAAAATATCCTTGCATTTCACAAATTAAAAGCTTATAAGAATATGCTCCAATTTTTTTCTTTATCTTTTATACATACACAAATGATATAGACTATTAATGATATGAGCAGCTCTCATAGAACCATTTTTACTGCTTTAAGTGTGCGTATGCATCACCTGGGGATCTTGCTAACCTGAGGATCCTGCCACAGTAGGTCTGGGGTGGGACCTGAGACCCTGGCTGTTATAACACGCTTCTTGGCTATGCTGGTGCTGCTGGTCCAAAGTCCACATTTTGAGAGGTAAGGGTCTAAAATACATTTCAGTCCTATATTCCTGTTACTAATAACTAAATATGTATCATATTTTCCCTATTACCTGGCAATGGGGAATTTACAAACAATGAAAGGTCTCTAAGACTGCAAAGAATATACAACCACATACACACATGCACATGCACACACACACACTTTTGCAGATAATCTTACCTTCTCACTTTAGATTCCTTGTTTTACAACACTACCCCCAGTGGATTGTAATTTTGGAGATAAAGCTTTCAAGAAACTAATGGATTTCTTGTTGTCAGTACTAAGACACCTCTGTTTTACAGTGAAATTTGAAAGTAAATTGATGGCATTTGTCTTTGCATTTCATAGGAAATAATCACCCTAACACTTGACGATTTTTATTTCACCCTTGGGAGAACCAGTGTTTACCCATTAAAGAAAGCAACGTGAGAGAGTTCTTTTCCACCCACCTTCTTTGGCTATTTCAGAAGCTTTTATTAGAATTTTGATGGCCTGTTTGTATTCTTTATTTTCCAACATTTTGTCTGAGAGTAATCTGTAAGTCCTCAGGAGACTCTCACAGGCCAAGAAGTTGAGAAAGTGGCCTGTCTCATCCTTCCATATCCGTCCCTGAGTCAATTGATGGAATGCTTCATAATGCTCAGCAGCTTCCAGAAGCTGACCTGAAGAATAAAAGCCATTCATAAATATAAACCACAGGTCAGAACATATTTTCAGAAATTTTGCATACATTTTAGCTTTACTATTAAGTGGAGAAACACTGTGGAGAAGGATTTTTCAAGGCTGGAGATGAATGAAACTGGGAAAGGAGCTATCTCTAATTGGACCTCAGTTTCAGCATGAATTCTGGCTAGTAGAAATGTACTGGGATTGCATATGTTTAGAGAGTGTCAGCAATAAAGGGCCAGCAATAAATATTAATAGCAATCATATTTGCTAATATTTATTTAACATTATGCATGTCATGCACTCTGCTGTATGCTTTATATGCATTTCTCACTTAACGCTCAAAACAATCCAATGGAGTGGGACTGTTCTGATTTCACATTATGGAATAGAAAGCGAAAGCTTGGTAAGGTTAAGAGTTTTGCACAAGATGGCAAGTCTAGGGCTGTAATATCCAGGAAATCTGACTTCAGAGCTTATACTCTCAACCAGTATCCTCTACTGGTTTCCCAATAGATGGCGATTTCATCATTTTTTTTTTTTCTTTTTAGACAGGGTCTCACTCTGTCATTAATGCTGAAGAGCAGTGGTGCAATCACAGCTTACTGAAGCCTTGAACTCCTCCTGAGCTGAAGGGATCCTCCCACCTCAACCTCCCAATTTCATCATTCTTAAGAAAGAATGTATCTGTTACAAACTTCAAATTCAAATACCATGTATGGCTCCTTAAACAGCTTCTCAAAGTTTGACTGAACTTTCCAACAAAATTTTTGTATATGCTGTTTAGTTTTGGATTAGAATGTAACTAACTGCCTTTCTGGATTTTATCCTGTAATAAAATCCAAAATATATCTTCTCCAAACTAACACTCTAAATTAGTTTTAAGTAATTTTTTTCCTTAAACTATCAGCAAACATATTGCTAAAAGAGTAGTTTGCAGCTCCATACAGTGGATTGTATTTTACTTGTTAATTGCCTCATGGGAATGCTCACAATATCCTGAAATGTAAAGACTCTTTTATGGCACTGGAGTTACATAATTGGAATTGATGGGAAGAACACTTATATCTAGGCAATCCGACCACAGTGATTAAGAGTGAGTGTGGGCTCCAAGCAGACACCCTGTTCCTATCCCAGCTTTCCCAGTTTTTGTTTAGCCTCAGGCTAATTACTGCCCTCTCTGTGCCTTACTTTATTCTTCTGCAAGATAGGATTACTGTGTAACTATTTGAGCTACTCTTGTAAGAAATGAATTCATGTATGTTCAATTATATGTTACAGAGTAGGTGCTCAATAAACACAGCTAATGTTATCAGTTGCTATAGTAATAATATCTTCAGAAACTCCAACCAGCAAATTGAAATATAGCCACCAATTTATAATATTTATGAAGTATAACTTACTCTTCCTACAAAAAACAAAAATGAGTTGAGTCCCTCTAACAATAGTATCATGATATATTAAATTAACCTATGCAGGTTACATTAAACTCAATATCTTTCCGCAAATGACTTTCTTTGAATAGTGTGGGTTGGAGCTGCTTCTGTGACTATTGCATATCATTTCTTCCTATTAGTTGCATTAATTTGTTACCAGAATTAGTATCAAAGGATGCACACAGAAATAAGAAGGGTATTCTCAAAGAAAAGGAAGCAGTAGTGGTGGATAATCAGTAAACAGACTGTAAAAAAAATTTAGTAATCATGGAAAGTCTAAATCCTTGCTGAGCCATACAGGTGAGCACGTCAGCAAAGATACATACAGAAAGGGCAATGTGTACTGCAGACTTGTTCATAAATTTGTATTATGAAACTTTCACATGATAGGAGACTACAGGCCATAAGCATGATATTATAGAACCCTATCTCATTATATGAACAAGTGTTTATAATAAGTAAATACATTAGGAAACATAAAAAAAATTAGAAAGCATTGTCAGTGTTACATCTCAGAGGTAGGATGATGGGTAGGTAATAGATGGTTTCTTTTCTGATTTTTTTTCTTTTTCTTGATTTTTTTTTCTGTTTGCTTATTAGCATTTCCTAAAATTTCTATCATCAAAACGTGTTTGTCATAAGAATATACAATGAAAGTTATTTAAGAAATAATGCTCAATCCCTTTTTCACATTGATACAAATACGCAAGTTTGAAGTTCATGGCTCTAATCTATCTTTACTTTTAGCTGACATTTTTTTCTTACCTTCTGGAAAAACAGGCATAGTTTTTCGTCTCTCTCATGTAGCACCTCTTGCCAGAAACACCTTGCTCCAAATACCCATGACCCTCATTTTTTAAAACTAGAATGGAGCATTGACATATATGTGTGTTATATTTCCTCTGTTAACTATATTTCTGCCTATGAAGTATAGCACTGTATCCCTGGAAAGATGTATATGAGAGTTCCTTTTCTTTTTTCATCTAGTGTCCATCTATTCATAAAGTACAGGCACATATTTCTTTTTGGCCATGTAAGTAGGGAAAGGGAGATATAGAATTCTGTGAGAAAAACAGATAGTTCTAGAATAGATAGGGATCATAAAGGAAATGAAGCTCTGGATAACTCAATTAAAATTAGATGCTAATGAGGTATAATGATGTAAACAACAAATGAGAACTGATATCAATCTTCAAAATTTGATCCATATGGGGAGAGAAAGGGGAGGTAGAGGAGGGTCAAGTAGGAAAAGGAGAAGTGGAAGAAATCAGGACGAAATGGGAGGAGGGAAAAGTGGAGGGAAGGCTGGGGCTGGGTCTTCAGCCAGACATCCTCTGTGTTACATTACTGAGTCTTGGGTTGCTGTTAAGCGTCCTGGATAAGGCTGTCCAAGCAGGAATGAAGTGAGGATGGTCCTCAGGGCACTGGTTTCAGCTGGTGACTACAGAAGGCAACATTGGGATGGTCAGAAATAACAGTAGTCTTTTTGGTTGTATTTGCTTTCTGCTAGAGCTTTGAGGGCTAGTATCAATGTACTACTTAGCTCATGGTTCTTGGCCAAAGTTCAGCTCTCAGAGGGTCTATTTGGAGTCTTCCCTGAGGAAGAAGCCTGAGATGCTGGGGTAAAAGAGAACAGGGACCTACTTTTTCCTGAAGGCCTACTAGGTGCTAGTCAAAATGCAAGACTTCTCTCTGATCTATGCATTAACTTATTGAACATTCCAAAAAACTGGTGAAATATATATGATTGTTGTTTTTTCACTAAAGAAAAACCTGAGACTCACAAAGTTTACAAGACTCAAATATATGCCCCAGACTTATCATAAGTGATGATTAGGATTTAAACCCAAGGTCACCAAAAGCCCACGCAACGGGTTCTACCACATCATATGCTAGTCAACAAATCAGAGTCAGGAAACTTAGGTGGAGTGAGTTAAATTCTCTGGACATGGATCTCTTGTGTTAAAAATAATGATCAAATTACATGATTGTTGGTCTCTTCTGGTTCTAATAATTCTCCGACTCTGCTCAGGCCATCACAGGTCACCTCTATGAAAAGCACAGATGTGAGCCCTTGATGTGCTTCTGATTGGTCTTTCTGAAGGAGCTGTTGTACAGCTGCTATGTCTGAATTCCCTGCTCTCTTCTAAGCCATGTGGTGACATCTGTGGGGGATCCTGGAATTCTGTGGGTACCCCAGACTCAGTCACCTGTGGCCTCAACTCACTATTCATGGTTTCACTTCCCCTTTCTGTACCACTTTCCCACAGATGAGGTCAGTGGGGTCCTGATCAGTACTATTTTAAATAGAGGTTCCTACTACACAGAAGCAGTTTTCCAGTCCTTCTCATAAGTAGGGATTCATTTCTACAGGTATTTGGTGGCAGTAAATAAGCCAGCAAGAAAATAAGCCAGCGAGGATTTGACCCAAATGACCACAAGCACACAAATGACTTTTCTGCAATTTCTAAAGGCTGGCCAGAATTTAAAGCACATATTATGGTATAGTAGCATCTTTGATTTAAAAATATTTAAAGATATGTCTATGCTATGAAGAGAGCATCAGAATTTAAATATGCAAGCATTTCCCTTGAAGCATGATTAACAATGATATGATTTCCATCCAATTTCTATTTTCAACTGTGAATTGGATTTTTAAAATTACCCTATTTTCTGAGTAAAGGTTTGGATATTAATTGAAACTAGACATTTATTAAGACATAATGCGTACTGCTTTTAACTTAAAAGTTTAAATTCAATTTACTGAGAGATATGTTATAAAAGACCTCAATAAGGTGATCATTTTGATTAAGGTAAATACAAATATCAATGTAGATAATGAATCAGATTTTCTAACATGGCTCATAGCATCCCTTTATAACATCTACAAAGTGTTCATATTTAGTCTATCTTTTGGCACCAATAAACTTTAACATAGCAGGATCCAGAACTCAGATGTCAATCTTTTAAAAGGACAAGTGTTTAAGTGTCCAAGGACTGTCCTCCTCTGGAATTATCAAGTGTTGACATTATTTTCTCTCAAGGAATAGGGAGAGCAAAAAGAGGAATAATTTTACCAAGGAATCACAAAGGTAAAAGTTACCAGAAAACAGGACAAAGAAAGAAGTCCTGGGGACTATTCACAGCTATTAAAGACTTTGTAGGGGAAAGTGATTTTTATCACGGTGCACCAGGAATCACCTGCAAATCTTCATCATCACTGTGAGTAACCAGATCACAGTGGTATCCACAGTAAGGAAGACATACTAACTGCTGAACTGAAGGCCTGGCATGCATGGTGCTATACCAAGCAAAAGTCTAGATAGTCCACCAACATTTCAGGTGAACCAGGGAAGAAAATAAAGCCGAAATGTTTTGTTGGAGAGACTGGGGATGGCCCTGCCTTAGTGGTCAATTTATTTCCATAATATGAAGTAGGATCAGAAAACACATCTTAGGAGAATGCTGGGAACAACTGCATCAAACAAGACTATCCAGGTATGAAGAGAAGGGGCCTAAGCCCCAGTTTTCTTTAGTTTTAACAATTATATGACATCTAC